GATTGTAATACCCCCAGCCATATCTCTGTTGCCTAAAATTTCTTTTGCTATTCTAGGTTTCTTCTGGTTCCAAATGAATTTTTGGATTGTTTTCTCTAGTTCTGTGAAATATATTGTTGGAATTTCAATTGGAGCAATGTGTCTTTTACTGTAATAATTTTTTTTTTTTTTGAGACAGGGTCTTCCTATGTAGCCCAGGCTGGCCTCAAACTCACTGCTATCCTCTTGCCTCAGCCTCCCAACATGCGCCACCATACCCTGCTTAATTTAAAAATTTAAACATGCACCATATTTTAAAAACTCACACTTGAGTATGTCTGAGCTGACAGATGTCCCGGTGACCCCAATCTGCTGTGTATCCACAATGTATACACATGGCAGGTGTGTATCAAAATGCTGCTGTAAGCCATAAACATGTGTCAATTAAAACATTAATAAAAAGGATGCCATTTAATGTCCACTTTAACTAGAGAAGCTGTAGTTTATTTTTTTATTTTTTCGGTACCAGCGATCAAACTGGGGGCCTTGTGCTTTCGAGGCAGGTGCCAGAACCACTGAGCTAAATCCCCGGCCCCAGCTGTAGTTTATTGGATTGAAAGATAAAGTGAGAGCTGGCTTTCAAATGCTGCCTCCTTTCCTACAGGTCTGTCTGCTGTACAACAAAGGCGGTGACCCCATCTACGGTTACTGCAACCTCAAGGACAAGTGCAACAAATTCCACGTCTGCAGAGCCTTTGTTAGGGGGGAGTGCAGACTCCAGACCTGCAAGCGGTCCCATCAGCTCATTCATGCCACTGCCCTGAATCTGCTGCAGGACCAAGGGCTGAGCATCCCAAGTCTTGTGAATTTTCAGATCATTGCTGCCTACAAGCATGAGAGGCTGCACGAGAGGCTTGAACATAAAGGTGGGCATGGCTGAGGTAGATGGTGTGGTCCACAGTGAGGTGGTTTTGAGATGCTGCTCAAGTCCGAGGACAAAGGACTTCCTGTGTTAACTGCAGCTTTGTCTGTGGAAAGCATGGAAAAGTCAACATTTTGTTACATAGAATCGTGGTTCTAACCAAAGAAGGGAAGACCCCACCAGTTTACAGACTCTGCCTAAATGTTTGAACAGTGTAGCTCCTGGGCAGTTTGGAGGTCAGGAAGCAGGTGGGACAGTTTGAACAGCTGGGAAAAGGGAAGGGAGATGGGGTAGCAGCTGGCAATATGAGGGTAAGGGAGTGATGGCTTTCTTTTATTAAAGTTTTTTTGAGGGGGGACTGAGGAATGCAAGGCCTTTGCACTAAGCTACCTCCCCAGCCCTTTTTTTTTTTTTTTTTTGTACCGGGGATCGAACGCAGGTCCTTGTGCTTGCGCAGCAGGCGGTGAAACCACAGAGCTAAATCCCCGGCCCCCCAGCCCTTTTTTAATTTTGAGACAGGGTCTTGCTAAGTCGCCTAAGATGAAGCAGAGCATACAGTCCTTCTGGCTCAGCCTCCCAGAGTGCCAGGATTACAGGTGTGCACTGTGACACCTGGTGCTTTTTTCTCTTTTAACTAATTTCAACCACGTTACTGAAAAACTTGTTAAATAGAGACTAGAAATAAAAATTGAATATGATTCTCCTCACTGTAATCCACAGCAATTATTTTACTGTAGACACTTTAGTGCTGTTCCTATGCAAATACTAATCTGTGTTTCAAATAGCATTAGTCTAGTATCTTAAATATTCACTTTGTGCAACATCATAATATCTTCTTATATTGCTCTGTGTGTGTGTGTGTGTGTGTGTGTGTGTGTGTGTGATGGGGACTGAACCCAGGGCCTTGAGCATGCAAGACACATGCTACTCTATGAGGTACATTCGCACCCTATGACATTTTTTAAGGCTTACAAAGTGTAGTTTGGTGTTCTTTTAATTACTTATTAAATTTTCTCATGGCTGAAAATCTGTGAGTGGTAGGTTTAGGAGAATTGCTGTCAAGAAAACTAAACTACCTTCAGCCAGTGTGGTGATGCACGCCTGTAATCCCAGCACTTGGGAGGCTGAGGCAGGAGAATCACAGTGAGTTTGAGGCCACCCTGAACTGGCAGCAAGACCTTGTCTCAAAAAAACAACAACAAAAAAGAAAACTAACTTACCAAAGTCAAAGGCTCTAAGCTCTTAACAGAGTTCTCTTGTGCTGGGATGTTAGTGGTAGACTTAGATTTGAAGTTGGGGAGGGCTTTGTGTAGACCAGTGTCTGTGGCTATTGAGGGATGCCTCAGTGGGGGCAGGGACCCTAATTCTGTGTCGGGGGCTGCCACTGTCATCATGTGGTCTTGTTTAGTGAGTCTCTCCCAAGTACAAAAGTGACTTTCTGCTTGCTATTGTTACATTTTCAATATATCAATCATAATAAATAAATATGTCAATTATGTGTTTTAATCCAGAGGTCATAAACTAAGCCCAGGGCGTAGGGAGTCTTGTGTGAGTAAAATGAGACATGGGGTGAGAACAGGCTGTCTTTGGAAAGCTCATCCCTTTCTTCTTCCTCTTAGATGACTCAGCTGCTGCCCCTGAGTGTGCACAGAGCCCTGAGAAACAAGAAGCCTGCACAGCTGGGGCTGCAGAAACCCAACCTCCTGTCCCTGTCGCAGCTCAGGCAGCCACGAGGCCCTGCCCAGGTAACCCCTAAAGGGCCCCGAAGCAGGGAGAAGCACCGTCCATCTGGGAAGATTTGAAAGCAAGGCTTCTGCTGGGCCTGTTCGAGACCATCTATCCTGGAGCCCTTTGCTGATGCTTGTGATGATACGTACCTCACCTCCTAGAGGTGGAAGGGCGAGAACATGTATTGGGAGGGGAGAATCGCGAATGGGTGTTTGGGGATGAGATTGGATGCAGAGCAGACAAAAAAGAGGGTAAAATCTGACTGCAAAGCCTCAGGGTGCAGCTTCTCCAGCCTGGTGGATGAGTTTCACAGGGCTGGTTTCCCCAGACCTCTGGTCCCGCCATCCACACACACGGATGGTTTCCATTGTGATAATCGTAGGGTGTGTAGACTTTGTACACAAGTTTTTACTTAGCTGTTTCATAAGCATCTTTCTGTCTTTATTCACATTTATATATAACCTTGTGTTTTGCACATACACATTAACATATCATATTTTAACTACCTCCCTTATTCTGGCATGATTCAATTCCAACCAATTTTAAACATAACTTCTTTTATTTTTTTTGGTACTGGGGATTGAACTCCGGACCTTGTGCTTGTGAGGCAGGCGGCCAGACCACTGAGCTAAATCCCCGGCCCTTTAAATATAACTTTTTATAAAATCTGCACAGTATTGAAACCGTTCTTTACTTTTGCTTAGCTTATGGGTGCTAACTAACACTATCTTCGTAATAATATTGTGTGCAACTGCGTTCCGTATGTATCTGATGGATTCCACACAGGGCCTTTTATTGCTGAGTCTCCCTGAGTGCTGATGTGGGCTGCCCTTTAATATCCACAGAAGGGGGGCAACCGTACCATGCCTGGGAAAGCCACATTTTGGGGGTCCATCCTCAGCCAACACCACAGAGTAAATAGTCTTGGGCCTCTCAGAGATTTCTACCTCACTTTTCCACTTGTCATCTTTAATGGAGCTTTTACCAAAGCCCACCTGCTGTAGTTGTAAGGAAGGGTAGGTCATCCCTTCCTCCACATTGTATCTGTTCTTTTTGTGGGTGGGGATGGATCCTCAGAAATCTACATACTTCACCTGTGTTGCGCCAACTTCTACCTCCTTCCTCTCTGCCCACATACCCTGCAGTCTGCATCTGGCTACACGGAGATGTGTTTGTACTGAGGGTGCCACAGTGCAGCTGATGTTGAAATACTCTACTGTGCTTATTGTTGTAATAGTCTCAAATATCATTGGATAAAGTACTTTTTAAAAAAAATTAACTGTGCTGTAATGATGTGAAATTTAAGAAGCAGGGACAGTATAGTGAGTTTTTGTACAACTGGGTTTATATAATTTAGAGAAATTTTATCATGAAATGTTCTTTTCTGTTGCAAGAAAGAGTGTAAAACTGTCCTTTTCAAAGTGAGCGTGTGTTTTCTCCTAGTGGACAGTAACAGTCATGCAATTACTGGTGATCTTTTTCCTTTGGTTGTCAACAACAGTATTTCTGAAAGCCTTCATGTTCTGCATATTTTGTTCTTCCTCCTCTTCCTTCTCCTCATCCTTTTCCTCTGTCTCCTCCTTTTCCTCCTCCTTTGTTTTTCTTTCTAGTTCTGATTTTTTCTGATGCTTTTTATTTTTTTACAGCACTAGGAATCAGTGCGTTACCACTGGGCTGCACCCCCTCCCCCAGCTCTGGTGCTAACATTTTTGATCAGTATCTTCACATTATTATTATTATTTACACTTTATCATTTTACTGTGTATATTTTTTGTTGTAAGTCATTCTAAACCTTTTTTTTTTTTGGTACCAGGGATCACTGAGCTAAATCCCTGGCAATTCTAAACCTTTAATGGAATCTGTATAGGGTAGAGACGTTTGTCCTTTACATTGAAAGACTTGGTGGAATTTTACATTATTGTGTTCTTTTTATATATCTTTTTACAATTGTGTTCTTGTGTATGAAGTTATTGGCCCTCTATAATCTTTGTTGCAATATTTCATTTGATTCTGTAATATTCCATTTTATTTTGATTGTATTGGTATTTGGTTTGTAAAATTATTTTATGTCATCATTCCTCTGTTTCTTTCTTTTACTTTCCTCTCTTGATGCATCCATTAGAGAATTACATTTTAGAGCCAGAGGTGTTTTCTTCGGCTGTTTACTGGGCTTGTGAGGCAAAGGTGCAGGTCTTGATCAAGACTACAAATTTGAATATTCTAGATTGAAATACTGATTTTCCTACAATATTCTTTCACCTTTTGTTTCCTATTCTTTTGCATGCTACCAGCATCGAGACATTTGGCTAATGACAAACCAAAAAACAGCAAACTGTCCTGTACGTTTCTCCTACTCATTGTGTCAGATTGGTTACCCAGGGTTTGAGGAGGGTTTTGCGCCCCAAGAAACTTCTCAAATGCTTACCCTTATCTGCCCTTTTGGTTCCCAAACCAAGTCTGCTGCTCGCCCCAGCACCGGCAGTTAAGTTGAGAGATAAGGTGCTGAAGGGGAGGAAGCCAGCCGAGACTGGAAGACAGGGGACTCACGTAGCCTGGCTTGCTGGGAAGCTCTTTAGGGATGGTATAGTTTTTAAAGGCAGTCGATGGGTGCTCACATAGGTGGGCATCTCCTCGAAGCCAGTGGTGTGTATAATCCCTATCTAATCTGTGCTTCTCAGTTCTGCAAATCTCAAAACCAATATCATTATTTCCTTACGCTGTTCTTTTTTTTTTTTTGTACCAGGAATCAAATTCAGGGCCTTGTGCTTGCCAGCCAGGTGCTACACCACCGAGCTATATCCCTGGCCCTGTTCTTGTCCCTGATTAGTTATCCAGTTCAGGAGGACAGGCCCCCAGGAAGTGGGGTGGCTGACCGAGGCACCCTTGGTCATTACCAAACTACCAGTAAGAATGAAAATACCCTTAAGGCTCAGCTTCCCTTCCTCTTTGGTTTACCCCATGCTCTCTGATATACCCTAACCAGTGCCTAACTCAGTGTTTCACATTTTCTGCTGTGGGAAGTTTTTGTAGGAGGTGGTAGCTGGCCTCAGTTTCAGTAAGATAAGGGTTTGTGGATTTCCTGGGTCTCAGTGTTATCCTTCTCTTCTCCTGCCTTCCATCCAGCTGTCTGCTTGATCTTTTGAAACCAAACCTAATCATACTGCTTTTTTCCTGTTGATTCATTGGTCTCCATTGTGTAGGGCAAGAGTCATAAACTCAAATCCTACAGGGACCAGAAAGGTGAGGTACGTGCCTGAAGTAAGACTGAATGGAACAGAAATGGGAACAAGGAAATGCTACAGCATCTAATATCTAACAGGGGCCCCTCCTCCTGGTTTCCAGGAATAGGTTTCCATTTTGTTGTATTGTCTGACTTTTCTAGAGAAGCCAGAAATCTGGATTTTTATGAGGAAGTTTCTGATTTTAAAATACTCACTTTTAATTGTGCTATTAAAATGTGCACCAGTATTATTGTATTGACCCTCTTGGAATTTTGGGAATGTGCTGCTTTGTCTTGTGACTCTGTATATGTGAATGATGGACCCTCTTTTATAAGTGCCATTCCTACTTCTCTCTGCCTGTCTCAATATCTGGCAAAATTATAATCTTCAAAATACTGGCTAGCCTTTCCAGACCCCTAGCAAGGTGACTCATACAGAGGTTGTACAGTGCTAGCACCGTACTTGCTACATTATACTTTGGTGCTTTCTGTTTTCATACCCTAGCTTTGAGCAAAAACATTACCTATTCTTCTTGGTAATTCTAACACTTGGAAGTAAGAGACTTTTTTTTTTTTTTTTTTTGGCACCAGGGAATGAAATCAGGACCTTGCGGTTTTGAGGCAGGCGGCGGAACCACTGAGCTAAATCCCTGGCCCATGTTTTTTGCCACATAGTGAATTAAACTTTGTATTTGAATTTGTTTGAATAAGTATATTGTTTTTTGGTCTTCTACTTCCACTTTTTTAATATTCAAAAATCTTTTTTCTCCTAATGAGTGTATTATATAAGGTAAAAATCTTTTTCATTGCTTCAGTTTGATTGTCTTGATCTAAAATTAAATCTTTTTTTTTTTTGGTACCGGAGATCAAACTCAGGACCTTGTGCTTGCAAGGCAGGCACCAGAACCACTGAGCTAAATCCCCAGCCCTAAAATTAACTCTTTAAGACTTACAACTAATTATTCCATTATGGATTAAGTCTCTTCATTATTGATGTGTCTTTTTTTTTTTTTCATTTTCCTTTGTTCTTTTGTTTGTTTGGGGTTTTTTTGGCAGTATGTAGAAAGTGGTTTTATTGTAGGGATGGCAGTGTTTGTTCAGCATTGGAAGATCCACACCCATAAGTTATCATTTTAACAGAGGAAAGGAAAAAGCCATATGATCCTGTCAGTAGTTGCAGAAAAAGTACTGGACTAAATTCTACAGCTGTTCATGGTAAAAGCTATCAGGAGACTAGAAGTAGAAC